CGTAGTCTCCTTCAGTAATCGGCCGCCGACGAACAGGAGGTCACCTCAAGCCCCGCGCGCGGTGTAGCCGAACAGAAATCGAATGCATGCCCTTGGTTAGACCTTCCTCATCCTTTTATACCTCTGAATAATTTGTGCTCATGGATATGTAACGAGTACCCCTCGTAATAGGAATTCCGGCTCTTTGTGTGGAAAAAAAGAAGAAAAAAAAAACGTACCGAGTGCTAAGCAGCTTATTTCATAAAATTGGCGGGCGCGCGCATGCATCCCATTGCCGCCCGCCGCCTCTTCAATTGAAACTGAACCAGTGCAGACAGCCATAGCTTCTTTTTTTCCCCCTCCGGAATCGCGACTTTTACTATAGCTTCCAAGACATGGAAAAGGTACGAAATGACAAAGGCGTAACGAAAGGGAAAAACGAACAAAATACCACACATTACCGTACGGTTCCAGATTTCGTATTCGACCGACGGTCTTTTTTAAGGCTTTCATGCCGGTGACGGATGCGACAGATGCCCTTGGGCTCCGCAGTTTCAAATTCCGCGCTTGGGTGAGATGCTACGTGCATGGCACTTTCAAAGCGATTCCGCACTTGGGTTAGATGCTATCATGCTACGTGCATGGCTCTATCAAAGCGAATGCCACTTTTGTATCCTGGTTTATTTCTTCGCAGTCAACTCACAAAGGATGAGGAAAATGAGAAAATAATAAAAAAAAGAAAATATAGAAAGAAAGAAAGAAAGAAGAAAGAGAAACACAAAAAATAAAATCGGAAAGAGCGGTAAAGGCATTCCTCTGAAGAAGAAAAATGGTACAAGAGGCCTGCATGAGGTAAGTCGGGGTCCTGCTCACTACTTATCACAGGCGATCTTCCTGGGTTACTCCCTTTTTTGCTCGCTTCTCTTTCTCTGGCCTTGTCGTCCCAACTCCCTCTTATAATAGCCCCAGTATGCCTTTGTATGTGTGTGTGTGTGTGTGTGTGTGTGTGTGTGTGTGTGTGTGTGTGTGTGTGTGTGCATGTGTGTTGTGAATGTTCACCACAACATCCCTTGTTCCACCTAGATGAGTAGATCCAAAATCGCAGCAACTCTACCTCTATTGTAGAAGATTAAGCATGCTTGAAATGAATCAATCCAGCAAGGAAATAGTGCTTGAGATGAATTAATCCAGCAAGGAATCAGTGCTTGAGATGAATCAATCCAGCAAGGATTTGAAACAGTGTTGCCTTCATAGTTAGCAACATGAGGCACTACACTATAGAAACATTACCTTTATTCAAGCAATGCCTTCATCGGTAGATCCAACATCATAGGAACCTGACCTTTATGCAAGCAATGCAGCATACTTGAGAGGGGGTTAGCCAACAATGAGACAGTTGGCAATATGATAGACAATTGATCAATTATCATTGAATTATGTCATTTTCTTGACTATATTCACCATCCTTATCGTTGGGAGGCCTCCCAGGTTATTTCTTTTTACACACCCCTTTTACTGTGCCTCTCATGTACAAGGCTGGCCACGTGGATGATGGCGTGTGCATGTGTGTGTGTGTGTGTGTGTGTGTGTGTGTGTGTGTGTGTGTGTGTGTGTGTGTGTGTGTGTGAGTGTGTGTTGG